TCTAATCTAACTCAGTCTCTCCACCGTGTAGGGAAGCTTTGAATGCATGAACCTCTCTAAGAGATGGGACTGCCATTTGTCAGAAATGGTGTAGGGTCTCCTGCTTGGGTGGGGGTGGGGGGGGTTGGACTAGATGACCTACAAGGTCCCTTCCCACTCTTGATTATCTGCTATCTGTGACTTCTGATCGTTCGTTAATACTTTTGATGGGACATAAGCAGCACCGACGAAGGGCAGACAGAGAAAAACACTCAACCTGGCCATCGGAGAGAACAAAACATTCTTGGGAGGGTCACAGAGATCATATCGAAATAAAACTATGTACAAAAAAAAGGAAACCAGTGGATACGACAGAAACATCAAACCGAACACAAAATCAGGAAATACATCGGACATCTTCAGCATGGTGTGGTCCCAAGACAAGGCATTTAAAAATTAGTACAGGAACCAAAAAAAAATTAAAAATAACATATAATATTTCAGGAGCTGGAGGTCGGCAGCGAAATCTAGGCAAGGCAGGAGCTCTTACAAATTTAGCCTGGAGATTTTAATTTAATTTAAAGTTTTTCCACCACCACCACCACCCCCAGCAGCAGCAGAGAGAGAAGAGTGGCAATAAACACACCAGCGACATTGCAAGCCGTTGTCCTCGCCTGGCTCCCCCACCCTCAAAACAACACAAAACAACACAACCTTGTGTGGCTCACACCGTCCAACAGAGCTGGTGAGCTTTCCCGAGGGAGGAAAAAAAAAATGTTGAAGGCACTTTCGATCTGCGTGTGATATTCCTCATTTCCCAGGACAGCTTCCGCGTTTGATTCCTCCTTACAAACGCATTTCAAATGCTAAAAATTTCAAGAATTACGGATGCTCTCCTTAAGTATACTTTAACAAGAAAAGAAAAGAAAAAAGCTTCCTTTTGCTGTAATATTTCAAAAATACTGGAATCGGATGTCCGCCCCATAAGATTTATTAAGATTTATTTATTCTATTTAGGCCACTGTATCTCAATTTGAACCACCGGGGAATTCTGGGAGTTGAAGTCCGCTCACCTTCCGGTGGTTCAAATTGAGATACACTGATCTGGCAACGCTCATCCATGGCTTTTACATTCACACATCACTTTTAACCAGGTCAGTAAAAAATAAAAATAAAAATCCACAGCTGCACTGACCCAAATTTACTGAACTGGGTTATTTTTTTTAACCTTACTTTCCCCCTTCCCTTGTGGCTTAAACCTGCTGTCTGAATCCAGCATTCACAACACCCTGTTTTGTTTTGTTTTTTGTTGCAAGACCCGTAAAAGATTCTTAAACCCGAACAGCCCAAATTCAGGGTGCCAGATGAAGCCTTTAAAGGGGGAGAAAAATTGGCTGAGAGCCTCCCTGACCTCATTTGCAGCATTTTAAGGGTGAAAGGTTTTAATTCGGTGCTCCTTCTCTGTTCAAAGCTAAGCTTAAAACAAAACCAAACGAAACGGACCTGAGTAATCCATTATTGATCCCAAATGGTGTTTCTGATGAAATGTATTTGAGAGTTGATGGAAATTTAAAAACAAAAACAAAAATAAACCACTGAAGAAGTCATCTGGTGTTGATTCAGGCAGGACTTCTTCTGTCCTTCAGGAAAAGTTGGGAAAACAAAGAAAGGGCTAAAACCTAAAAATGTACAAAACTGTTGGGTCCATCCTAAAACGACCCGGTGTTTCCTGGAGTGGGTGGAGGGAGGAACAGGGGGGAAAAACCCCATTTTTCTTTCCCAGAAAAGGACACGGATATGTCTCTCTCTCCCTCTCCTCTCTCTCTCGAGAGAAGAACTAGTGCTCAGAATTGCAGGAGAAAGAAAGAAAGACATACGCTTGCGGGGGGAGGAGAAACATCTCCAGAAGGTTGAGGTTGGTCCACTCCAGAAGAAAGACGGAGCCGTTCTGACCACAGAACCCGCCTCTGGCTTGGTCCCAGCCACCTGACCACCTCTCCCAGGGAAGCGGCATGACAGTGAAGGCTACCCCCTTCCCGGCTGTCTCATTCATCCGCCCTGACCTGCTGTCCCATCGGGTCACATCCTACCCTTGTGCTCGGCCGATGGAAAACGACGGGACGCCAAGCCGGGTCTTGGAAGCTCGAAAAAGAGATTCTTGGGGTGAAAATGGCCCCGAAGGCTGGACTTTAAGTGCCCAGCCTGGCAGAGAGAGAGAGAGAGAGAGAGAGAGAGAGAAAGAGAGGTCAGAGACGAGGAGAGCATCGCCCTACAACAGGCTGAAGGAAGAAGAGGCACGGTTTGTGGACGTTCTCCTGCTGGGGAGGATGGTCTCCGTGGAGGCGAAGGGGAGCCAGGAGAGCGCTTGGAAGAGGTGCGATAAAGCCGGCTACATGGAAAGTCAGTTATCTATGGAAAAAAATAAAAAATACACTAGGGAGGTTTTTCCTCCTACTGCTTGTAGGGGTGACCTGTAGGCAAAGAAAACAGAAAAGAAAAAGAAAAAATCAAATCAGGAAAGACACCTTTTAGGATTTAGAATCAGAAAAGAGCTGGAAGGGACCTTGGAGGTCTTCTAGTCCAGCCCCCTGCTCAAGCAGGAGAACCTATTGCCATTTTATTTTATGTTGTAATTAAATTTTATGAAGCATTTTCCAACCATTTAAAAACAGATTGACATTTCCAACAATGTTACAACATCGTCAACATTCAAATTCATATATCGGTTACCGTGTTAACCAGTCTAACCAGCTATACCAGGCGTCCCAGACTAAATAAAACTCCATTTCATTTCTATCTTTTAACTCTTGAGGTCAGCCTGTCCACCTCCACGCAGTCCAGAATCTTTCTTAACACCGTCCCCTCAGGTGGTATATTTTCCTGTTTCCGGTACTGTACATACACAATCCTGGACGCAGTTAGTAAATGTAAAATAATATATACCTCTGCTCGGTACGCACAGTATGGAATTTGATTTTTTTCCCCCCGTTATTTCCTCTATCCACTTATGAATTTTACTCCCAATAATTTTTAGCTTCCGAGCATGGTCACCACATATGGAAGAAGGTGACCTGTTTGTTTTTACATTTCCAACAGTATGGACTCCTGGTTGGAAACATATTTGCCAATCTGGCAGAGGGGTAAATACCATCTATAGAACATTTTGTATATGTTTTCTTTATACGCTGCTGATAGTGTTAGTTTATAATTTTTCCCTACATTTTTTCCCGGTATTCTAATTCAAATATTATATCCCAAATTTTTCGCCCGGACTATCGTTGTTTCTTTTACAATTTCGTCTTCCATTTTGAAACCTATCGCATTTTAGATGACTGTCTTAGACTCTTCTTAAAAGCTGCCAGTGTTGGAGCAATCTCTTGTGGGAAGCTGTTCCGTTGGTTAATGGTTTGAACTGTTAGGAAGTTTCTCCTTAATTCCAAGTTGTTTCTTTCCTTGGTTAGTTTCCAACCCTGATTTCTTGTCCTGCCCTCCGGTGCTTTGGAGAATAATTTGACCCCCTCCTCTTCTTTGGGGCAGCCCCTCAAACACTTAAATACTGCTATTATGGCACCCCTAATTCTTCTTTTCTCGAGACTAGCCAAACCGAAATCCCGCAACCGTTCTTCGTACGTTTTTGTCTCCGGCTCTTTGACCATCTTAGTTGCTCTTCTCGGCCCTTTTTCCAAAGTCTCAACCTCTTTTTTAGGTGCAAGTTTTAAAATTGGAGCATCCTTTTCCTAACTGCAACTAGCCTGCCTTGCATTGAGGACTTTATATATATTCCGGGGGTCAGAAAGGGGCAGAGAAAATATCCGTAGACCCGTCACATCCTGGACATCAACGATTCCAACTTCTTCCCTCCAGACGGCGCTATAAATCACTGCAGGCCAAAACAACTAGACCAGGGGTGTCCAACCTTGGCAACTTTAAGACTTGTGGACTTCAGCTCCCAGAATTCCTCAGCCAGCAAAGCTGGCTGAGGAATTCTGGAAGTTGAAGTCCACAAGTCTTAAAGTTGCCAAGGTTGGACACCCCTGAACTAGACAGAAGGACAATTTTTTTCTTTCCTGCCATCACTTTACATAATTCCCACAGCACTTTCTTAGGCCTACGGATGTTTACTCATGGAGTAGGGCTGTATCACTACTATCCTTCTCCTCTTTCCCATTACCTACTCCTGTCTTATGACCGTCACTTGGTTGATATATAAATGAAGGCAGTCATCCAGGCCTTTGCACATCCAGAATAACAAGAGTTGGAAGGGACCTCTGAAGGTCTTCTAATCCAACCCCCTGCTCAAGCAGAAGACCCGACCCCAATCCAGACAAATGTCTGTCCAATCTATTCTTGAAAACCTCCAGTGTTGGGAGCAGCCACAACTTCTGGTGGCAAGCAGTTCCACCGGTTCATTGTCCTCCCTGTTAGAAAGTTTCTCCTTAATTCCAGGTTGCTTCTCTCCTTGGTCGGTTTCCATCCATCTAAAACAGGGGTCTTCAAACTGGGCCGCTTGGAGACTGGTGGACTTCAACTCCCAGAATTCCTCCTCCTCCTCCAGTCATGGTAGCTCCAGGAATTCTGGGAGTTGAAGTCCACCAGTCTTAACTTAAAGCGGCCAAGTTTGAAGAGCCTTGATCTGAACGATTAAATCATGGCAACCGGGCCAAAGTTTATTACACTTTGAGGACTGAACCTTCATCTACACATTGCTTTGCACTTGGAGCAGGAACCCCTTGCAGGCTGCGTGGCGAAAATGGCTTCTTTCCACCCTCTCCGCCTTAGCAAATAGTCTCACTTTGACGGAAGGAGTTCCTTGGACGCGTCTGTTTTCATAAACTTGGCTCCGGTTGACGCAGTTCAAGCTTTCAGATCACTCGGTTGGTTGCACTCGATGGTCTTGTGATTGTACCTAACGATTTATCACTCTGTGGCTTGTATGGACCCTGTGAGACTTTGCACCAAAAGACAAATCCCTTGTGTGTCCAATCACGCTTGGCCAAGAAAGAATCCTATTTCTATTTTTATTCTATATTCTATTCCGGTCTAGTGGCCTAAAGGGGAAGCTCTCGCCTCACCATCAAGAGGCTGTGAGTTCAGTCCTAGGTAGGGGCACCTATTTCTCTCTCTCTCTCTGGGCACCGTGAGAATATACCTGCTGAATAGAACTCCGCCCTGGGGACGGGAAGGGCATCCGGCCAGGAAAACACTCCGCTCTGTTCAGTGGCCCAGACTCCACCCCCAACGCAAGGGATGATGGGAGATTCTGTATTCTACTCTATAAAACAAGAGGCCACGTCTCACCTTTATGAGCCGGCTCCGATTTGGCTATGTTATGCTGATTGGTAAGGCCAGGCGGGGGATCCAACTCCTTGGTCGACGAGGGAGCAGCTCTGGCGGGGAGAAGGCGGAGCGGGTTAGCACCGCAACCATCGACAACAAGTTGTTGATTCGGGAAACTTGTCCTCAGCTTACAACAGGTCACTGAGTGGGCCGTGTGACGTTACACTGGCCCCGAATAAGGCGACCTACGACCGTTTTTTTAACCCTTATGACCGTTGTAGCATCTCCCCGGTTACGTGAACATGCAGCCGCTTGGCAACTGATTCGCATTTATGACGGTTGCGGTGTCCTGGGGGTGGGGAGGTGTCATGAGATTCCCCCTTTTGCGACGTTCTGACAAGCAGAGTCCGCGGGGAAGCCAGATTCACTTAACGACTGTGTAACTGACTTAAGAACAGCAGCGACTCACCTACCAACTGCGCTGAGAAAGGTTGTAAAATCTGTCAAAACTTACTTAACTACTGTCTCACTTAGCAATGGAAATGCTGGGCTCCACTGGGGTTGTAATTTGAGGACTAGCCGTATTCCGCAGCAGGAGGGGCTACCGGCATGAAAACAGGACCAGCCACCAAGCAGCAAAAGGCATAATTTCCTCCTGATGCACAGAGTCTTTTTCCTCCTCCTCCTCCTCCCTTGCAAACCCTCCTTCTAGCACTGATGAAGTTGCCTAGCTGGGTCGTGAAACGTCTGCAAGGGAACCACCCAGGTTCAGGGAGCATTGCTTACCGTGTAGGCTTCTCGCTCCTGCCTCGGTGAGGGTCATGTCCTTCCCTTGGCCGTCCGCACACCGACTCAGCGGGATCCTGCTGGACGTAGGAGAAGAAGCTAAGCGGGGCGGTTGCACGTCCGCGAAGGCACAACCGGAGGGCAGGACGAGGAACTCCGCACCTAATTTAAGGCCCGGAGGATTTCGGAGCAAAGGGGTGGTGGATGCGGGTGGAAGTGCCCTTCGGTGGAAGCAGGGGGAGTGTCGGCCTTGGAAGCCATGTTGGACTTGGAAGGTTCCAGGCTACCATATTCAGGGCCTGGGAATCTGGCAGGGGGCATTTCTTAGAGAGGAGGAAGATCAGACACAACAACATTCTTTCTCAGAGTCAAGGACAAGCTTCCCTACACCTGGAGAGGAATATCTGGACGAATGGCTCTGTCAGCTCATCAAACATTCCTAGGCCTGTTTTAGTAGTTGCCATTAAAAAAAAGGGCGGAGAGGAGAAAGGAAGGAAATTTGGAAGAGCCGGGCGGCAGTTTGGAAGCAAAAGTACATGCCAACTCTTCTCTTTAAAGGATTGTAACTAAGCTACCGGAGCTTTTGCCTGCAAATATATTTAATTGGAGAATCTGGTTTATGACACACCCGGGGGGGAAGAGGGAAAAAGTCACAAGTTACTGTAAATGACATATGCCAGAGGTGACTTCACACATGGTCATGCCAGTATGTCGCTTCTAATAAATCCTTTTTGAAGTTTTTTGAAGTTTGGCTCGAGAATCACGATTTAATTCGGGCGATTGCTGGAATCCTGACAGGCTCCAGTTGGGAGAGATTTGATTTGGCCATCTGATGGGACTAGTGGGCGCAGGGGAGGGATTTTTGATTTTTTAATGATGCAAGGAAAACACAGAAGACTCAGATTTGGGTTTTTCCAGATATGCCAACATGGCAACTCTAATAAAACGGACCTTCAAGGAAATGCTTATCTCGGAGTTTATTGGTTTGGAGCAGGGGGTGGTCTTCCAATTTGACCACTTGAAGGCTTGTGGACTTCAACTCCCAGAATTCCTCCTCTGGGCATGTTAGCTCAGGGATCCTGGGAGCTGAAGTCCACCAGGCTTTAAAACTTGCCAAGTTTGGAGACCCTCGGTTTGGATATATATATATATATATATTCATCTTTGGGACCGAAGTAGAGATGGACTTGTTCTCTCCGGCCTTCTCCCATCTCTACCCCCTGACATCAGTTTTATGGAGAAAAAAACAACAACCCACCATATATTTAAGAATTGAGGATCTCATGATTGCAAGGGGTGGGGGGGAATTGTAGGGCCCAAGGCCAATCTTAAATTGGGACTAGAGATTGGGGGGGGGGGCGGTTTGGCGGGATTAACCTCCTGGATGAACGTTTGGGGCCTTACAAACCTTTATCCCTTTAACGAAGGATGATAAAAATACACAAAAAAAGATATATAACCAGGGAAGATCTTAACCTCGGCCTGCCTCAACCTGCCCCCACCCCAAATAAGCTGAAATCTTGGCTTGCTCTCCAAACATGATGCGAAATACGAGAAGGGATGGTCTGAAAGCGTAATTTCATCGTGGTTTACGAATTCGTCGTTCATAAAAGCCAAGGCCGCTCCCACCCAGCACTGGCGATGTAACCTAGGCGGGTGATGAAATGTCTGCAAGAAAGCGATCCAGTTCAGACAGCCCCCAAAACCCCCAGAGTTTGTCTTCCTCCTTCACCATCACCACCACCACCACCCCACTCCCTTCCGTACTGATCTTGTTACCTAGTTGGGTCATGAAACGTTTGCAAGCAACCCGCCGAGCTCCGAGAGCACCCAGGACCCCCCACAATCTTCCCTTTCCCTCTTCTTCCTCCTTTCCCCCACCTCCCTGCAAACACCCCCACCCCTTCTAGCACTGGTGACGTTCCCTAGTTGGGTCATGAAATGTCTGGGTGCTCTCGGAGACCCCCCCGTCTCCGAGAGCACCCAGGACCTCAAAGGTCAACCCTGAGCTACAAAGATTTCCTTCTATTGAAAAAATGTCAATCTTGTAGGGGGGGGGGGTAAAAGTAGGTCCTTCCCCCCCCCCCCCCTTTTCCCCTCCCCTCCCTTTGCAGAAGAAGCTGATCCATTCCCAAAAGGAATCACTGCTCACCTTCCAGTCGGGGTCCAGCCTCTTCTTCTCCCGTTCCTTCGCCTTTTTGTACGCTTTCTTCTCCTCCGCCATCAGAAGGCGAGCGATTTCCTGCGAGAAACCGATCGTTACTGTCGTTTTTGGCTTCCCCTCTCTCTGCTCTCTCGGTTTCCAAGAGCTATGATGGGATGGCAGGGCTGGAAGGGGACCTTGGAGGTCTCCTAGCCCACCCCGCTGCGCAAGATCCGTAGAATAATAGGACCGGACTCTGGAGGACCTCTAGTCTAGCCCTCTGCCCAAGATCATAGAAACAGAGGGGCTGGAAAGGGACCTTTGAGTTCGAGCAGCTGCTGAATAGAATAGGAGCTGGGAGGGACCTTAGAGGTCTTCCAGTCCAACCCCCTGCTCAGGCAGGAAGCCCTACATAGCATTTCAGAATTAGAATCAGAATAGAGCTGAAAAGGACTTCAGAGGTCTTCTAGTCTGACCCCCCTGCTCAACCAGGAGACCCCGTTTCATTCCAGACAAGTGGCTTTCCCGTCTCTTCTTAAAAACCTTCAGTGATAGAGCAGCCACAAGTTCTGGTGGCAGGCTGTTCCACTGGTTAATTGTCCTCCCTGGCAGGAGGTTTCTCCTCATCGCTTCTCTCTTTGCTTAGTTTCCATCCATTGCTCCTTGTCCTGGGGCTCTGGAGGAGAGCTTGACCCTCCCTTCCCTGTGCCACCCGCTCCGATATTGGAGCACTGCTATCACGCCGCCCCCCACTATCAAGTTCCACGACGGGTCAACTGTTCTTTCTTGCAGGACGTTTCTCCTTATTTCCATGCTGGGTTTCTCCTTGATTGGTTCCCCTCCCATTGTGGGATTTACTTAACTATTGTAGCAAGTAAAGATTCCAGGTGCCACCAGAATGGAGGATAATAATAATAATAATAATAATAATAATAATAATAATAATAATAAT